GTATGTTTGCAGGGTACAGATAGCGGCGACTTGGATAAGCTCTGGAGTTGCTGGATGGGAGCCAGCAGCTCTGGCTGTTGTTAAGGAGGAAGTTGCAGAAACCTGGTAGTTACAGTTCAGTATGGCTTAAATAATGAGAAATGGTTAAATCTCTGTCTTGGAATTGGTGATTGAAAAATTAATGTTTGTCTTGTGTCAGTAAGCGTGAGTGCCCAGACAGGATGTAGATAATATCTGCCGAAGAAAATTACAGCGTGGAACAGGCATTAACATTTCAGTGTTTTGGGACAATTTGGGTTACTTCAGCATCCTTCTGAGTGGATTCTGAGCAAGCACAGACACGCTTGTCTCCTGAGAAAATAATGCTTTAGAATTCTTCAGCTGTTGTAGAGAAGGGTTTGCGCTTGAGGCTGTGCTAACTCTGCCCTGTTAATAGTGAGGCTGAGCAGAAGTACAGATTTAGGAGTGACTTGCTGAAAGAGCAGGTTATTCTTCCATGAGCAATTTTATTTATTTACAGTTACCCCTCATGAGAGCTTTAAACCTGGTTCTTCGGGGTTTGCTACTCTTTCTCTTGGACCAAACCAGGGTGTGGAAAGTGGAGATGTCTGCGTGCTCACTTGTAGAGGTTACATGGATTATGATGCTGGGCCAGCAGGTCTCTCTTAAGAAAGCATTTTCTACATCTCTTTGCTGGTGAGATCTTGGTTTTTTTATCTCAACATATGGCAGAGTAGCTGATCTAACAGACTCCAGCATTTTCAAACGCTAGTCTCCTGGTTGCTTTATTCTACTTCAGTGTTAACAACCTTGTTCTTCCCTTGGGCCTCTGCTTTGGATATATTGCCCTTAAAAAAACATCTGGAGTTGTAATGTTCAAACCTCTCAGACCAACAGGTGATCAAAATTCCAGAAAATGTAGAAAAATGAGATCTCTGCATTTGTCTGAAAATCACAGGTATTACTTTCAAAGTAGCTTTGTCTTTTCTGTTAGCGTGTGTCTTTGGCAGACACAGTGGAATAATACTTCATATAATGACCAGCTTTAGATGAGATTTATGTATTAATGCTTCAAGTCCATCCTAATCATAGCATCGTGGATTATCCTGAATTTGGGGGAACCCCACAAGGATCACTGAGCTCAACTGACTCCACATAGGCCGACCCAAGAGTTAAACCACACAATTGTGCATGCAAGATCTCAGAGGTTAAAAACTGGAGATTTCCAGGCTTGCTTCTGTGTTCTCCTGGATTTCCTTTGCTCAGCCTTGTGCTGAACATTTTGCAACCTCTACATGCAGGGTGCATTGCAAACACCACAGCCCTTATAGTCTGGTTGCTGTTGCTTCCACTCTGCAGAGTCAGATGCAGTTTGTGGTTGTTTCTTACAGTGTCTGTTTCTCTGTGTGTCTCTGTGTTTGTGGGAATCTTGTTCAGATCTGTATTTTATGTTCCTTGAAGTATAAAGTTTCCTTCCTGTGTGGTTTAATTCATCATCTGAAACAAGCGAAGGCTGACAGGTCTACCTTAAATTGTCCACTCTAAATTTAGCTGCTAGGGACAGAATGGTCAGGAAGGGCTAAATTAATATTATGTCAAAAAGGCCTTGGGATGAGGAAAGGAAAAAAGCCAATTTGGAACAGAGGATCTGCTTTCAACTCTTTCAGAATTGGAAGGAACTGCTTTTCAGAAGGAGATGTTTGAAAGGAGCACGTATTTTAGGGAACTGCACAATGGGACGTTTCATTATGGTCTGTGATCTGACCAGCTGCCACTTGGGGTAACTGGCTGAAGGTTCGTGACACACTGATCCATTCTGGCCTTGCAGAACATCTCTTATTACTGAGCTTCTGTGGGTATTTTAAAGCAGCCTACATGTAATCTGTTGTGCATTTTGTTTCCGTGAAGTGCAAACTACTTGGGAATGCTGCCCAAGTGTTTTTTACTTGCTTTATGCAATGTTGAGTGGCAAAGGAAGTGACGCCGAGTTTGTTCTAATATTTCACTGGGGAGATTTTTGCTGTGCTATGAATCTCGCCTGAAGGCACAGAGATGTCGAATTCAATTTGTTATTTTTATGGTAATTTTGGAGCTAATATTAAGATGACGTTCATACAATACAAAATGTGTAGAATTAGATGAGGCAGATGTGTCATCTTAATTTTGCAACTTTTGCTGCTTGAGAATTTTGCTCGCCGTGCTCACAAAAATCTGGGATATAAAAGAAGAGCTTTAGAGCGTTGTTTCAGGAAGCAAGAGTATATGTTTACATTTTTCTCCCTTTCTCCTTCAGCAAACTGTACTATTTTTTTATGGCTTCACCAAACTGTATACCAAGGATAGGGCAATTAGAAGAAAATAATAATTGAAAATAGAAACCAATTGTGATATTGCGCTGCAGAACTCACAGGCTTGTTTTAGACCTTGTGTTTTTGTATCTTGATTCCCCATTCCCAGATGTGCAGTGACTCATCCTGCTGAACAATGGGAACAGCATCTCTTACCCCTTCACTTGGTCCCACTTGGCAGAGCTGCTGCTCAGAGGATATGTGTTGCAGAGGGAGAAGAGATTAGCAGTGGGAGAATGAATCATCCCAGCGCCTGTGGTAACTCCTGTGCAGAGAGCAAGAAGTTAAGGAAGGCTCGTGGTCTGTGCTGTGCTCTTGTGTACTAAAAAGGAGCATCTGCATTACGTGGAATTCATAACTCGAAGGGCGTTGTTATCCTTGCTATCCTTCAAGTCCATTGCTCTGTGCTGCCTGCTTGGTGAACCAGAATGTGCCCCCACACCCCTCTCTTCAGAAGCAAGCAGCATTTCTATGAATCAGACTGAAACGTACAGCAAGGTTACACAATAAGCCTTTGGAGCAGGAACTGCATCTGTGCTGCTGCATTCCTGTGTTACAGCTTTAATCGGGGAGTGATCTTTAAGTAGGGAGTTCTCAGCATCTGTGTGTGTGTTGCTGTTTTCTCCTCCTTCAGGTTTGTGTGCTTTAATGTTCTGAGCTATTCTTAGCTCTGAACCCTCTGGAGCTGAGGGGGGGTTTTTGTTGTTTTGACTGGAAACAGATATTTTGACTTTAGCAGTGAGTATCTCTGAATTCTGTGTGAGCAGAGCAGGCATCTTCAGATCTGTCAGTCCACTCGTATGTTGATCACACCTGTTCCATCAATCTGACTTGGGTTATCCAAATATTTTGCAATTACTGCTCAAAAATTTCCAGAGTTGATAATTTGGCATAATTACAACACGATGAAGGGCTTTACGGGAAACCAGAGAAGTCTAGTTTCCTTCAATCACTGAAGAAGTGAAGGTTATTTTCTCAATAAGTAGGTGATTTTTTTTTTCAGCCTTATTATAGAAGTGCAGAATGTTAAACTGAAGCAGGAAAAGCGAGGAGGCACAAACCAGAAGTCAGGTAAAAGCCATAAATCAGGTGAACTTGCTTATGTATCCCAGCAGTGTACGTGCATACAGCTGTTTCCTGTTGGCAGCGTGGGAGGCCATAGGAACAGGGCAAGGACTCAGAGCAGCTGCATAGAAAAAAGGAACAAGTTGCATCGCAGACAGCCCATTTGCCATCTTATTGTACATTTAAAAGCACTGTGTAGGACAAAACACAATGGAGAAGGTGGGGTTTTTTGTTTGGTGGGGTTTTTGTTATTTTTTTTTCTTCCCTTGGTGACCTTTTCCTTTTGGGCTCTCCCCTCTCCTAAATAAGACTAATAACACAGGAAGACCTTTTTTCTTATTCATGCGGTCTGTGATACCTCTTCTGATCCCATACGGTGCCAAAAAATACAGGAAATTACTTTCACCTTATGAAAATTCATGGTTGTAAGGAAGCTCTTAGAGCAATTGTTCTTTAGAAACTTCCCCCCACCCCTGAAAATGGTTTTTTTTCTTTCTGCTAGTGATACGCCGTAAGTCTTTTGTGATAAATAGAAGCTAAATATACATTCTCTCTTGTATGAAAAGAGAACTCCAGTTTTAAATGTTGAGAAATCGTGAATTACAGCTTCCTGTTGTCTGTTCCTGATGCTGAAAGTATGTACTTGTGCAGTACACTCAATCCTCTGATCTCCATTCTGATTCTTCAGAATAAACTGTTGTGTTGGCATCTATTGCAAGCTGTTCTGGAGCAGAATAATTTTATTCCACTGTCTCAGGCCTATGGTATGGAGAGGAATGTTAGGTTTAAGGTTTTATATTGCTGTTGGAATCTGTGAGATAATATTTTGAGAACGTTCTCCTTCTAAATTAGTAACTTGGTAAGGGCAGCTACTGTCAGTTCTGTCAGTGCAAAGAGCCCTCGGTTTGAGTGTAACTAAGGCAAGCAGTCTGAAAAACATATGTGTGTTTTAAAATACTGATTGTATTATGTTCAATATAACTGCAAAGAGATTTTGTACAAATTCATTAAAACCCTTGAGCCTAAAAAGACAACTACATGTAGAAGAGAAATTCTTTCAGAATGCTCCTTTTTTTTTATTTTTTGGCAAACAAGTCTGGGTTAATCTACTACAAATACTGGGTGACTTCAGTCTTCCACTTTTCTAAAGATGTGTCAACCACTCTAGGATATGCTTTTGTTCACTTCTGCAAATTTTAAGCAAAATAGGTTAGTTTTTAATGGAGGTGTTCATCTTCACTCCCACTTAGCGTCAGTTGACTGCATTCATTGTACAAGGGATAAAAGCCTCAATTCTTTACTCCAAAGCAAAGAGTTGCCTTCAGTAACGCTTCCTTTTCATTATAAAAATTTACTGGGAACATTTCTTTCAGATTTCTACTCAGCTTTGATTTTTCTACCAAGTACAAGTTAAGAAAAATACTGCTTTACCTACAGACATTGGTAGCACATAATAGTAGCTTCACTTACATCAGCAGTTTATGTGAACTAAACTATGTGGTATTACTATTGTCGCAGCTCCTTAAGCACAACGAGGTGTAGTCCAGACCTCCATTTGTGATTTCCCATCTCTCTCCTTCTCCACAGGGTGAATCAGTGAAATATTTCCTGGATAACCTGGATCGGATTGGTCAGCTGGTAAGGCTTCAGTTTCTGAACAGAGAGCTTGGATGTGCTACAGTTGATGTCTTAATAATAATAATAAAAAGTTGCATTAAAAACTTCAGCAAAGTTATTTAGATATAATGAGCTTTAGTCTTGTGGAACTGAAGCTTAGTATTTGATTAATGTTTTCTGATGGATGAGTATTGTTTATGGAAGCTGCGTTTTTGTACATAATTTTTATCTTCCTGCATAGTCTCTGGAGCTCATTCTCTTCTCGGTGCTCTGATGGCTGGTACTACTAAAAGCAACAAAATCAAACCCTACCAAATAAAGCATTTACCACTGTAAAATTCAAAATCAGTGATGAGAACACCTGGCAGGAGACTTGGAGGAAAAAGAAGGAAGGTGATTTTTCATAAGCCGGAGAAGTTCTGAGCTTGTGAAGAACAAGTTGCTCTGCAGTGGTGGCCTGGGCCAGATCCTGCAGTAGGGAGTGTTGCTGTCATTGCTGGTCATAGACTGTGAACTGTGTTTCCAGGAAAGCTTGCAGGATACCCTTGGAGAGTAATGAACAATGAAAAGTACAATTTAAAAGAAAAAGTCCATTCGCTGCCTTACAGAGCAGTGTCCAAATGGTAATAAAGCTGTGGGTAAGAATTTCATAAAGGTAAAATAGTCTTCAGCGTGAAAATACAATGCAAAAAGGACGGCTGGTCCTTTATTTTTATTTTCATAGGTCCTTCTGGTAGCTGTTTACCAATATTTTGAGGTAAACACTCGACAGTCCATTATTTTTAGTTGGATATTCATTCTTCACTTGATAATTAAAAGTAAAAAAGGACTCTGGTTGATTTTTTTTCTCTCATTCAGTACTTTGACATTAACCAGCATTTTTGAAGGATTTTTTGACACTCTTTTCATTTCTTTTACAGAATTATTTCCCCAGCAAACAAGATATTTTGTTGGCTAGAAAAGCTACCAAGGGAATAGTAGAGCATGATTTCATCATTAAAAAAATACCTTTCAAGATGGTGGATGTGGGTGGACAGCGATCTCAGCGTCAAAAGTGGTTCCAGTGCTTTGATGGAATAACTTCAATCTTGTTTATGGTCTCCTCCAGTGAATACGATCAGGTTCTCATGGAAGACAGACGCACAAACAGGCTTGTGGAGTCCATGAATATCTTTGAGACAATAGTCAACAACAAGCTTTTCTTTAACGTTTCTATTATCCTGTTCCTCAACAAGATGGATCTCCTTGTGGAAAAGGTAAAGACTGTCAGCATTAAGAAGTATTTCTCGGACTTCAAGGGTGACCCTCACAGGCTAGATGATGTTCAACATTATCTGGTGCAGTGCTTTGACAGAAAGAGGAGAAACCGTAGCAAGCCGCTCTTCCATCACTTCACCACTGCCATAGACACTGAAAACATCCGTTTTGTGTTTCATGCTGTGAAGGACACCATCCTTCAAGAGAATCTGAAGGATATTATGTTGCAGTGAAGGAGAGAAGTCCATGTCCTGTTAAAATTTGCTGGAGGGTTAGATTAAAATGTTTATCCTTTCTTTATGGCCCTTGCATGTGGTGTAGGACCCATGCTACTTACTTGGCTCAGGAATGCTGTAAACAAGCCAGTCAAAACAGAGGAGCTATAGGCCGAAGGAGTCAAATGTTGATGTTAGCTACTGAATCATTTGGACTAGAAACACTACTGAAACATGGCTGTTGTAGGTTCTGTACCTAGTTTGGAATGCTGAACCAACCACCTTCTGCCTTCTTAGAAAACAAAAAAAAAATCTGACAAACCATATATGAAAGACACTTTGTTTTAAATGGAAATACTTATTTTTCAGAGACACTAGTCGTACGATCTGCCTTTTTTTGTATTTTGGAGGTGCTGAATTGATCAAACTAACCTAAATGTAATGAGATTGGTAGCTGTATTTGAGAATGTTAATGGAACTTGCATTCTTAACATTAGGAGTGTAACCAGGTCTGGCGTGCAGTTTAGTTTTGCCACAGAACTGGAATCTACTAATTAAGGTGGATGCACAGCTCTTGTCTGAAGGTTTTGCATGAGTCTCCTGAAGCTTAAGTTCAAAACTGTTCAAGGAAACCCATGTTGGAGTAAATTGGATGAAAAGTTAAGGCCTTGCTTGAGAAGGGCTTATTTTGCACTACATGTAAAAGGTATTATTACATCATGGGGAATCTGATTTCCTTGGTGAAGCAGCCTGTGCTGGAGCACCTGACCCTGTATGTGCACAGCGGGTGCTTGAGTGAGATGTACTCCATGGAAATCCAGCACTGTCCTCACACCTGCAGCTTGGCAGTAATTGTGAAGGTTCAGGATCACGTGACAGGGCTTCATCTATGTTTGAAAGCTGATTAAACTCTTATGCAAAGGTTTTGGTAGTACAGCAACTGTTTGATTAGTTGCCATCAGCTGACTGTATAGGAAGACCGAACACCCTAGAGATCCCAGTTTTACAGCTGCACTGATACGTTTGGACAGCAACACCTTGCTGTCAAATTAGCCCTTAATCTGTGTCTTAATGGGATCTTTAGCCAGTAGTAATGCATGCGTAATTCTGAGTACAGTCAAGGTTGGAGTTGCCCCATTTGGGCAATGGTTTGTGTATATTCGAGAGGCTATGAAAAATGTTGATATGAACTGTTAATTTCTTAGCTCTCAATCTGTGTAACTATCAGGTGCCTTTTCTGTGTACAGACATATCAGATCTTTTCTATTACAGTGGGGTATGTGAACAACCTTACGACCTGCCTTTTTATCAGAGCACTGTAGTGCTATTCTTTAGGTAACTTTCAGACGTAGTTTACTGTGCAATTTTTGTCATAGCTTTTATCTGAGAATAAAACCTGAAGGGCTGTTTGTACCCACACAAAGGCAGCAGATTCCCTGGAGTTCTTTTCCCCACTGAGACTGCAGTGGCATGTCAAAACAAGCAGCGTTTTCCTTCAGCTGGTGATCCCATGGGAAATGCGGTCTAAAACACATGAAAGGACAACGGAACAGGATTTTAATTCGGATAAAATCTGGAATCTTTCTTCCCCTCTGAAGCCTGCAGATGTTCGTATCAGTGTGTTTGTGTGGTTTCCTACTGTAGCAATCATTGGGTTTTCTTTGTGCAGCTTCAGAGTGGAAGAGACGTGGCTGTGGGTGTTACATAACGCAGGACTGAGGTAAGAAGCAGTGAAAAGTTGCAGGCAGGAAAATCCAGGCAGCAAACTTAAGCAGGAGTTAGCTTTCTTGTAACGAGTCTTATTTTTGCCAGGACCAAGTCTGTCTTATAGGTGTGTATTCAATTTTATCCTCGAAGGGGAAAAAAAAGGTCATGTGTCAAATATTCAGAAGAAAGAAACTCTTAAGCTTATTACATTTTGATTTTACAACCCTGGCAATGCAAGTAAGTTCACTTATTGTGTAAGGTTCATTTCTGTAAGCTAGTCCATTTGTTAGCTGGGAAGTGAGATTGTTCCAACTTTTTCAGGCTTTTCTTGGAGTTCCTGATGGTAGCTTCCACTTCACACAAGGCACTGGAAAAGAGGAGGCAGTTGTGGGCTGACCAACTTCTAGTTTGACTTGATTTTATTTCCTAGTTTGCTGTGACTTCATTCTTTCACTGCATTTTCTAACAGACTAATATTGTGCTTGTTTTCAAATCAGTTAAGCCTTTCAACTCTATTTTTTTTTTTCCTCAATAATTACCTCAGCTTAAAGTCTCAATCTACTGTAGCTTTACCTGGGAGGTGTAGCATGGAATTTCCTGTTCTGTTTTTTCTCTTCATTGTCATCTATGGCTTTAAAACTCTAAGCAGAGCTAATAATGCAACATACATTTTAATTAATATGATCTGCACCTGGAAATGAAGCAGAATGAGTTATCTCATACTGAGCTCTCAATCTTGCTAGTGTTTGGGGTTTCTTGCATGTTGTAGCAGTTTTGCACAATAAGCCCAAGATTTAGGGAAGCAGGTTGTTCCCCTTGTGCCCATCGTTGCCTTTCCTCTGTCTGGTGATAAAATGAGCCTAGGCACGATGCTCTAAGCTGCAGGAAAAAAAAAAAAGAAGAGTTTGGCTCTATAGGGTGTTTTCTGTGTAACTTTGATAGGGTTGGTTCATATCAGCAACCCAAGGTTGGGAGGATGCTGGTGGGAAGTGAAGCACTTCACAGATCTGCAGAGGATTTGGACTGTGATTGAAAAGGATTATTTTTCAGGTGGCAGGTAAATGTCTTTCTCTGCTAAATTCTGACTCTACTTCTTGCACAACTGAAGCATTTTGTTTGTTTGTTTGTTCTCCCAAACTAAGTTGCAGTATAATAAAGCCCAAAAGCCATGTTATGGTAAATCCGTTGGTTATTAAAGCAGAACTTGGGTGACTTAGGTGGTACAAACATCTCAGGACAGGCTTGGTCAGTTGCTTGGTCCTTTTGCAAGAGACAAAAAATTGAGTGACGTGGTGGAGAAATGCTGCAGGTAAACACAGCTGGGGAGAACATCTTTTCTGTTGTTAACTTTATGAGGTTATTGTTCATTTGCTGGTCAGGAAATAGGGCACAGGCAGGATTGTAATCAGATGGGGACTTTGAACAACTCCTTAGAGGGAGGGGAAAAAAAAAAAAAGGTATTTTGTTGTTCCTCCTCTGATATTGCAGGTCAGTGACCGGTGGTGGGGTGGTGCAAATGGGCTTCTCTTCCAAGGACAAAGAGAGGAAGCACTTGCATGTGCATGCAGGAGAGGCTTATGTAATCTTGCAGTTCTAAGTACAGAAACTAATTAAATGGGAGTCTTTCATCAAACTCTTCTTTGTATTTAGTTTTGAGCTAATGTAGTGCATCAGTCAGTATAATTCCTTCAATTGTAGTGCTGTCATTTTCTGAACAGTTCTTAGATGGCAATGCCAGACAGCATAGTCAATTGGAATGACATATTTGATAGGCAGTTATCACTTCAAAGCGGTTAAATATTTCCTAATCTTGATTCTGAAGCTGAAATTACTGGCCACTCAGCTTCATGCTGCATCTCAAAGATCCTTCAGTTTTAAATGAAGAACGTATCTTGCTCTATTCAATACAGCAGCATAGATTATTTGATGTGGTAATAGTTGAAAATGGGATATATTGCTGAGCCAGACCCAGAGCTAATCACGTTACAAGCATGAAGTTGTTCCTGAAGGTGTTCACTTGTATTTTCTGAGCTGACTGAAGCCAGAACCTCAGCCAGGCAGAGTGGAGGAATGTGCACTAATTCAGAACCAAACAAAAACGCTCCTGTAGTGAAGTGGAGCAGGAAGAACTCATCCGTCTGTGGCACTGCAGGCTCGAATTTTATTCCACCAGGGCAGCTGAAATAGGTTTGGGTACAGAAAACTGTCCGTTCAAAATGCTCCCCACCCTAAGATGCTCAGTACTGCTGGTAGTGTCACCTGTAAAGACTTACAGAATTAAAGGAATAGTCAAGTGACAAACTATTCTACACAGAATGTCGCTTGAGTAAGTACATCCTTTGCCTTCTTTAGGCAGATTTCTGGATATTAACTTCATGTTTTGCGTTTTTTTCTCTCTACCTTTTCAGTTTTCCTGAAGCCAAAACTACGGGAATTTTGTAAGAGACCCCTTCAGTTTTCAGGTAGTGAGTCTGAACACCTGACTTAGCTTTGCATGTGCTATCAAATGCTTTTGGGGTTGATAGACAACTTGATCCGTGCCAGCTTGAGACAAAAATAAGATATGCAGTGTAATTCCCTGTAGCTTGAAATGTAAGCCAAACACTGACTTCCCATCATTAGACCTATAGTGGCTCCTGCAGCTTCAGTAGTAGCCTGTTTTCCAGATAATTTTTCTAGTATAAAGACACACGATGTAGTCAGGGGTTTTAATACAGCACTGCCAACTCTTTCCCTCGGTACACTCTTTGTTAATTCTGTAACACAGGAAGCAGTGAGTAGGGTGCTTCAGCAGCGTCCTTAAAACATACCTATGCCTACTTTAGTAAATGATGCACATGAAGCATCGGTTATGGGGCAGCAATCTCAGGCTGGCATTGTCTGGGCCACATTTGGGCTGAGTTAGTCCCACCTCCATGCATTTCTAGGTGAGGACTGTGTAGTACTGAGGAAGTAATTGGCAAGGCAATACGAAACCTTGTGCTTTTTACTATTACTTATTTTGTGATTAGCTGGAGTGATCTCTGCTTTGTGCTGTGAAGTGGGCGCTTCTTTGTTTTGACACTGATTTATTGACATGGATGGAAATGAGCTACTTGGAGCTGAAACTGCTGTCCTCCTAACCAGGTGATGCTCTCCTTGCTCGTCTTGGTGGTTGGGCAGTTTATCTTAGTTCTTTAAATTTTTGTCTTTCTAACTGCGTTTGGAAAGCAGTGTTGAAATGTCTGTGTTGACATGCTTGTCTTCTTATTGGGTGGGGAGTATGGAGGTACTAGATTGTCAGTGCTAGTGCTTCTGTGCCTGGCTTGGCAAACAGGATGACAACCTAGCTCTTGGCTTATGTCCCAAGGTCATATCTTGTGTCTGATGTGAAAATGATCACGGTCAGAGGGAGAAAGAGCAGCACTGACTTCCAAGGAAGGCATTCTGGTAAAAAGCCAAAGTATGTTGGAAGGGAGCAGGAGAGGGGAGCTATTTCCTACACAGATGTCAAAAGTTGATGGCGCCTGAAGACTGAGTGTATTGGGAAGAAATGCCATCTGTATTGACCTCAAAAGCTTTGAGTGGCTCCAGAGAGCTATTGGTTGTGAATGAAGGGCAGCAGGCTGGTGAGGCTGGCCCTGCTGCTGCTGAACGCCCCTCCATTGTAAATCTCTTCATCTGTTCCTAACTGGGTGCTAAAACTCAATTCCAGATAAAATACGATCTGCAGATCTCTGGGCAGCGAGTGCATCTCACTCTTTGCTAACAGCTTCTTCACCTTTCTTCAAGATACTGGAGCAGAAGTATTTCAGGGGAATGGCTAGATGAGATACTGTTTCCATTATTGGAGTAAAATGCACAACTGATGGAAAGGCAAATTTTTGCATAAGGAGGATCAAAGGAAGAGGTTCCTACAAGGGAAGGAAGAGATTTTTGAATAGTCCTGCTTTTCTCTGCTCCTGCCCCTTGTCAGCCTTTTGTGCAGAGCTTGTGTGAGGTGGGCAGGCACAGCAGCTGGGGGAAGCCAGCAGGGAGGAGGGGGATGTGGAAGGAGAATGATTTTTGGTAGTTCACAAGATTTGGAAAGCGTGCTCAATGGATTGAGGTTTGAAAACACGTTCAAACTCCCGCTCACGCTGAAGCCATTAACAGTCTTTAGGATAATGGGTGTTTTTCTGGTGTACAGGTTATGTTGTCTGGGATGTGAAATGAGCTTGAATTGATGATAAATGTTGAGCAGTATTTTTGGAGATGCTGCTTAACAAAAATGCTAGTATTTATTGCTCTTGTGATGAGTTGTCTTGTTCATGGAACCAATATGTATGAAAGCAAACTGACAAGCACCAAGTTATCTTGTGACACAATCACGTAGCTAGGAAGCCAATTAACATTACCTTTTATTCTGCAATTTACTTGCTCTGTGGTGCCTATGCATTGTAACACACATACTATGCAATATCATTCTTTTTCTAAACCAGTTCACTACATTGGGCAAGAAGGGCCTGAGTTTAGCCTTAATTTTCTAACAGTTCACAGGAAAGTACTTTAGAAACAGTGACAAACAAAACGAGGTTTAAAAAATAAACCACACGAAATAAAAGCACAGTTCCAGACTGCTCACGTAAGTGTCTTTCTAGCACCAAAACAGCATCCACAATAGAGACAGCTACTTGCTGTAATAGTTTCAACTTATGAAAACTGTGTACTAGATAAAATTATATTGTGATGTGTAAAAAGTGTATTTTATAGCTTTGGTGACTTAGTTTACTGTTTTGTATATATGAATTTTATAAATCTATTAAAACTTGACTTGTTATACTGTTCTTTATGGGTTTAATCTTTCAAGAGAGTCTGGAGTGACTTTTGCTGTGAAAAGATTTCTGCAAGAAAGCTGCTTTTTTTTTTTTTTAATAACAAATACAGCATGGAGTGCATGAAACAACAGCTGTCATGCAATAAAACCTTCTTCTGTAATCTGTGTACATCTCCCACCTCTCCAGTTCTGGTCTGAATCATTCTTCCTCAACGTGTTTGGGAATTGAAGGCTGGTGAAACATTAACCTATATAAAACTTCCAAGTCATTCATCTGTAATGTTTCAGTGCATGTTTTAGGCATTGGAAATGATGGGAAGTGCAAAGGAAGAGACAGCTTGAATTTGTGCTCGTGTATTTTAAGTTCAGCAGGAGCTTGAAATCCCCTGTTAGGGATTCCTCCTCTGCTGTGCAGTGCCTGATAATAGCTACAGGACTGTACTTGCTGCTTTTCCAGGGCCAGGCTCCTCTTGGACTTGCATACTGTGTGCTGGGGTGTCTTTGTACTACTTTGCAGAACTGCTGACCTTTGGAAGAGCCTTCAGCATCCGTGTCTCACAGCACTGCCATCGTGGCACCGGTTTATTCTGCCAGAATTGAGTTCCAGTGCTTAGGAATGCTGCTCACCTCTCATTGCTTACACTCTGGAACTTTGCACCTGGCAGGTTTCTGTGGCAAATCTCAGTTGTTTCTTGTGTGAGCCGTTAATGCTCACTCCATTCCGTTGGCAGGTGCACAGTGTGAAATGCTTCATGGGAGCACTGATGGCCTTTCTTCAACTAAACATTTGGAATCTTGTGTCCTCATCTACATCAGGGGCTTTGGGAACGGCTGCCTTTTGTTCCCTGAGCACTTTCAGGTGATGGTGTGTTAGCAATGGATGGTGAACTGCAGACTCAGTATGTGCTTGTGAGCACACCTGGGAACCAAACCTTGCTGATTTGGAAAGCCCTCGGCTCCCCTGCCCATAACCACACAGCTGATATCACCTGTGGGCCTTGCTGAGCTCCTTGGCAGTGAATGGAGCTCTGAGCTGCTGTGCTCATCTCCTCCTTTCTCCTGGACAAGCTGAGCTGGTAAGTGCTGGTTCTGTCACTACAGCATCAGAATCTTACTAGTGAACAGCATTTCTTCATCTGCTCTATGCTTTCACAACAGAGCACAAGTCAGACCGCAAGCCAAAGCTTCTCAGAGGGAGGCTCCCATCCCTGGCTGCTGTCTGCAGTTCCTGTTGCTTATGCCACCCTCTTCTGTGTTATCTTCGGACTTGGTTGTGACAGAAGGCCATCTCCTTCCCTCGGGCAGTGTTGTCCTGCATTTATGGTATCTTTGGGGGAAAGTTCTAGAGTCCAGCCTAACGTTTCCTATGGAATTGAGAGCAAACAGGGCTGAATGAAAAAGATCTCATGCTTAAAATAGTGAATCTCTTATAGCAACGTATGAGTAAGCACAGGGCAGCAAGTGGAGCTGTCATTCCTGTAGGATTTGCTGGGGGCTTTCTGCTGTTGGGTCAGGAGTCCTGAGCCAGCCCTGCCCACCCCAAAAACACACTGGATGATTCCTGAGGCCGTCCTCACACAGGGCACAGGGCAAGTGCTCCGCAGGGAAACCCCCTCCTCCTCCCTCAGCTGAACAGGCCCTGCCTGCTTTCTGTCCTCTGCAGTTGCTAATTCAGATACGTTCAGCAGGGAGAAGGCTGAAGCTGTGTCCTTGGGAGTTGCAGGGATGTTATCAGTGAACCACAGATGGCGAGGGCTCAGCCTTGCTGGTGTGCAGGTTGCTGAGTGTGGTGGGAGCCCCACCTATACGTACCTGTACCTGCACACGGTGTGCCTTGTGTGGGAGGCAGCTCCCAGTGCCAGCACGGCTCCCATTCCTCATCAGTGAGTGCTTACAGAGCAGAGAAGAGCATGAAAGCTGTGGTTTTTGCCTTCTCAAAGCAGGGAGAGGAATGCATGTGTAATTCCCGCTGTTACAGTTAGTAATCCATGTGCGTGTGAAATCTTTTATTTTGCCAGTTTGTTTCTTTTTCCTCTCCTGTACCAATGTACAGAGGATGTGAGTGAGTAGTTTGAGCTCATGGCTCCAAGCCTGGCTTTGAAGTGGAGCAGCTCCGGAGATCCCCTTGAATGTCCACCAGCAGTCACATGAATGCTGCTCTTTATGGTGGATGAGCTGCCAGGGAGCTCTCTGCTCTGCTCACCCCCTCTGTGCCCATCCACCCCCACCTCCCCCTGCTCAGACCCCCTGTTTTGGCCTCAGCTGTGCTCCTGTGCTCAGCCTCCAGCTGACAGAGCATCGGCCGGAATAGAGATGAGTGTTTTGGTGTGGGAGGAATAATAGCTGTGCTTCAGTCAGAAATGCTAAGTAGGAGAGAGCTCTGTGTATGGAAGAGAGCTGCCCTGGTTTAATTTGCATCTGTTTGTTCAGATGGCCCAAGCTTCTGTGTGAACTTGTTTGGTGTTTAGCATAGACTCTTCCCACCCCATTTCAGACCAAATGAAACACAGCATGGAAATGAAGTTGCCTACATGGGAGTTGATGGGAGCTTGTGGTCGCGCTATAACTTAAACCAGCACAGAAAAACCCTTAGCAAAGAACTGATCACATCAAAAAGATGCTCGCAATCAGAAAAAAAAACAAAACACCTTTTATTCCTGGGGGAGTTCCAGTTTCTCTGTGGCAGCAACAGCTCGTAGGGAGAGGTCAGAAACAGGGCAGCAATGCAGCCAAAGCCTCGGCAGCAAAGCTGACCCATCCAAAGGCAGGCCCTTGCTAGTTGTCCTCCCACCGCCAGCGATGAGGGGATGATTCCCCTTTGGACAGTTTTCTGGAACTCAGTTTCCTCCGCAAAGAGGAAAATTTGTCTCCGAGCACTTTCCGTAGCCCGGTGTTGTCCCTAACGAAGGGCAGATCCTTCTTCATAGCGGGCAGCTGTCCCGTGAACATGTCCCACCTAGCCAGAGCATCCACAGCCTTGTCTACTCGAGCCAGTTCCTCCTCAGAGACGTTTCTCTCCAGGGCAGCGATGCACATCTCCAGCCACAGCTCGTAATCTTTAATGACATCCGCGGGCTGGCTGGGCCCTGCCAGCTGGGGCTGACTCTGCACCTCAGCCAGCGAGCACAACCGCTCGTCCTGCTCCAGATCCGGGCCGATGGAGAGCGCCTGGCTGCACACATCTGGTGTCAGCGGCTCCGACAAGGAGGTCACGGCCTCGGAGTCGTTCTCACAGCACATCCCGGAGTCCGAGCTGAGCGGAAGGATGTCCTCTGAGGCTGACAGGTCTGCTGGCTCCTGCTTTGGCCACGTGGACAGCACGGTCTGCGTCCAAGCATAGAGCTTCTGCAAAGGGAAGGGAAAAGGTTTCATTTTAGAGAATGGGAAGAAATAGGTGCACCTCACCCAACGTTTTCAGGTAAGCACAAGCATCTCAGGTAGCCCAGCTTGAGATGCCGTGGGCAGGAGAATGTTCCTTTACACAGCAGGGGCTTCCTTTTATTTTTCATGTATTTTGTTCTCACAGAGGGTGGTGAGGCACTGGCACAGGTTGCCCAAGGAGGCTGTGGATGCCCCATCCCTGCAGGCATTCAAAGCCAGGCTGGATGTGGCTCTGGGCAGCCTGGGCTGCTGGTTGGTGACCTGCACACAGCAGGAGGTTGGAACTGGATGAGCATTGTGCTCCTTTGCAACCCAGGCCATTCTATGATTCTGGTCAGTGTCCATGTCTTAGATGTGGACTGAATCTGTCCTATTATTGAAGACACTAAAAGGAGAATGGAGTGCATTAACTCCCCTGTCTGTATGTGATCTCTGCTAGAGCCAAATCAGGGCCTTGCTAGAGGAAAGCATGTCCCTGCAAAAGCTCCTGAGATGGTGCTGAGGAATTCTCTTCCACTGTGCCGTTAAGTCCTGTGGTAATGTGCCCTGTGCACCTAAGAACAGCTCTTCCCTCTCGAGCTGAAATGCACAAGTTGGAAGGCTGAGCTCCAGGAAAGAACTAATGAAAGGAAAATGTCTGAGACAATTTCCTTTTTAAATATTAAACACTACAGCGGGTTGCTTCTGGCACACTTACGCTGTGGGGAATGAATCACTGCTCCAGTCATCGCTGGATAAAAGGTGATTTCCCTGTCTGCCTTGTTGGCATGCATTGGCGTTTTTGGGGTGTTTTTCAGCTTTTGTGGTCTATTTCTCCATCTTCATGCTGCAACTCCCAGCTGATATTGATGCAAAGCTCTGCATTTGCTTTGAAAAAGCAGAAGTGACAACTACTGGGCTTTAAGTCCAGCTGCAGCCCCAGTGCACTGAGCACTGTGCTGGGTCTGTATAGACACCAGAGAGCCTGGTGCTGTTGTGGTTGAGGAGCAGGCACAAAATGCCAAGTCCTACAGAGCTGTTTTCTGCCAGAGCACAAGAGCATCCCCCTTCTCCCTGCCCCCTCTCCTTCTCTGTTGCTTTCTCTTTAGGCAAATGACAGAGAAGATAAAGAGCTCAAATTGAGTGGGTGGGAGAAATCGGTTGCAGTCTGTGCATGGAGCCTCAGGGAAGAATTTCATACAAGAGGAAAATGGACTCTTTCAGCTGAGTTGGTCTGCCCTGCCCCCTCCCTCTGGGGCAAGGAGAAATGTGAAGGGATGGCTCTTCTCCTGCCTCATCCCACCTCCGAGGGCCTTTCCTTCTGGGTGTGAAGCACAAAGGCACCAGAAGCTGCAGTAGGAAGCAGATGAGGAAGGCGACAGCAGAGCTGTTTGGAAGCTGCAAATACTCCGTGGTTTTACAATGCCTTCTAAAATTCCCAAGACTGGAAGTCTGAGAGAGAGTCATAACTGCTGCTTAGCACCGTTCCCAGGACATTCCCACAGTGCGTTTGAATTCTTTAAAGCAGGGGATAATTGCCTTGAGTACACTGCCAAAAGCCAAAAATCTTTCCTGTCACTCATCCTCTGGTGGCTTATGGATTGCAAGACATGATGGGTTCCATAGGGCTGCAGCTTCTTTTTATGTTCTCACATGTAAATAGAAAGGGATAATGTTACAGCTTAGCTTACCTGCAGGCAGGTAAACCAGCTTTTGTGCCCCAGTGAGTGAGCTTGCAAAGCTCATTAGCACCATGATGGAGGTGCAGCTGCCCTGTGCTGCTGATCTAAACTCTCAGCACAGCTTGAGCACTGCTGG